CCTTGCTCGCCACACGTGCATTACAAAAGCACCCCTCACAAAGACACCACCACCACAAGAGTGACGGCCAGAAGCAGAGCGTGTAAGAGGGAATGCGCTGCGGAGTTACCATTCATACCAACCCGGTGGGCAATGTCCTTCTTCCCTTCCACGAGGGCACCCTGGTCATGAGACCCGACTGCTGTGGACCTTGGTACAACAATATGGTTTACTGAAGCCCTGACTCCCCTCAACCGTCCCTGTGCCCCAGAAACTGTGTTTTCTGCGTAGGGTAATCGGTTCAAAAGTGGATGAAGACTGCTGCCATCGGAGGCAACGGTGCACACTTCAGTGTAATTGGGGCAGTAGATTGTCTTGAAATTCAATGACGCGGAAGAAGAGCTTACTGTTATATTACCTCCTTCAGGACATTCTTGGAAGTCCGATAAGCCACTGTACTTTACTTTCACTTTACGATTGCTTTCATCACACAACACCTGTGCGCACACACCACTCATTATTTCGGTCACTTTTTCGGTTCCATTTTCACGCTCTAAATTGTAATCCTCTGTAGTCAAGCACATCGAGTTCTCACCCGTCAAAAAACCCAGAAAACTACCCTCCTCTAATTCAGTGCATGGGAAAGAATGAAGTGGTGCGCTCAACTCCATATGAAAAGGTGAAAGAAAAACAGGACAAGATCCTGTTGGGTCCTCATGTACTTCATCCACATCAACACTGAAACACCTTGCAATTCCAAAGCGATCAGATGAACAACGCAGCCTCTCATCAGTACAGAATGCATTGGGATAATTCGAGACCCCTTTGTCCGTGAGGCAACCTTTTCGAATAAAATCACATCCAGACTTGTTGCCCCAACTCATCGGCTCCTCCATTCCCCAGTTGGCAGAATAATATTTCATGTCATCGAAAGCTGCCATCGTCAAAGCAGTGTAGTAGGCGCCAGCGAGCGCATGTAAAGAGCTCATCAACTCATCCTTTGCATTGCGCCATGACCACGTGGATGACACACTTTGATTCGAGTCTTTATAGTCCAGTTCCATACCCTCAAGATCACTGCAGTCGTAGTGTTCCTGTGCCTTTTTCTTCGTCATATTGGAGCTCACAACCACTCGCTCCACTCCACGCACATTGATTTTGGATATCATGCCAAGACTCTTCATCCGCTCGTAGTCGAAGCCAAGTGCGTGTGCAATATGGTGGGCAGCCTGGCGAACGTTGGGTCGAGTACTTGCTGTTGGGTATGGAATAAAGTTCAGCCCACCAGCAATTGGACGTCCAGAGCGTCCATCAGCACATGTAATACCAAACGCACCACCAGGTTTCGCGGCCACGTAGAGTACAAAGTCAGCCTTCTCAACACCTGGGTTGTGGTGGTTCTCAGGAACAGTGAAAAGACTGCAAGCACCTTCAGTAAATCGAGGTATAATCAACGGAGTGCCCTCAGGGTCAACGAGCAGACGCTCAGCGTGCAGTTGGACTGCAGCAGGAATGATTTTGTCCATCAGAACGGTTTTCCGTTCTTCAGTTAGGAGAGATTCGTTGTGGCAGATAAAATTATATCCATCCATGCCCTTTGCCGTGTCGTTCGTGTTGGTGCAGTAGTTCTTCCTGCTCTCCAAATTATCGCCATCCAAAATACTGTCTTTCAAAGATTTGTTGTTCAACGTATTGTCCTTCAAATCCTCCATTGACGTCTTGATGCGGATCAACTGCCTCTTTGATGTGGCGACGGTGTACGCCTGCACACCACTCCGTCCCTTGCGGGGCAACTCCCGCACAACACCAGTCGATGGCGCGTCGCCGCCGTCCTTCTGCGCAATACACACACTGGCGCAGCACAGAAACAACAGCAGTAGGAGGAGCAGTGGTCGGCGCCACAGAAACAGCAGGGAGTGAGGTGTCTTATTCATGACCGGGAGGTTTTTGTAGCCGGTGTGGAGTAGAGTTGCGTAAAACAATCTATAGAAGTAAACACAGATAAAGAGAAAGATGTATTTCAGTGCTACGGTGCCGTGCACCAGAGACAGATTTGACCACAGAAAAGAGCCGCACCCACTACACACACACACACACACAATGCAACACAGAATCAAAGAAAGGAATAAAGATATATAACAGAATAACACACACAAACGCACACAAGGATATCCAAGGTGCACAGCACACCACACCCTCAACACAGACAACAGGACGAACAACGGGATGGTCACAGTTCATCCCATTTTCCTTCAGTCATTTCTCGATTCTCTCTGTCATCACTGCAGGCCATGCACATAGCGCAAAGAACATCGCACTACGTCCCATCCACACTACCGTGCTGTACGTGCGGGTACTCTGGGAAACCGTTCGACATGAGCATAAGCGTTAGGTAAAGATAGAATACCACCGCATGCAGCGTCGAGGATCAGCACCAGTCTCTCAAACTGTTGGTGGAATGAAAGTGTCAATAGCAGCACCTTGGTGTTCGTGTTACTTATAATACCCAATATCAGACCAGTGAACACGCAATACTCCACCATCAGCAAGAAATGAGTTTACTGTCCTTCCTCACCCTCTGCAACAATAAGATCTGCTTGATGACATTCAGAGAGGGGGAAAAAATGAACCTCTAGCTGAGGGGAATGAATAGTTACAACGAGACTTCCACTTGTGCCGCATACATCGTCTTTTTTTCTTTCAAGTGCGTTTGTATGTTTAAATAGTATACAAGAATAGTTTCTATAATATTGCGAGTTCTGACATGATGAGGAATGATGTAAGAAGAAGAGGATGCTGCTAACAATATGGTGTGAAAATTTGCTTCTTAAACACAACTGAGAGGTGATGATTGATAAATATATATATTTATAAGAACGTGAAAATTTTATCGCCATTTGGTAAAGGAGAAAAAGAAAAATACACTTAATATTGACTGTAAAACAGACAGAATTTTTTTTTTTTTTTTTTCAATACATACTTCTTATGTGCTTGTAACAAGGATGAATGGTCGCTGCTCCAGAAGTGGATGCTTCCGCGCCACAGGAAGCCAGAGACTAGGGAGACGGAGTACCCTAAGTGACACCAGAGTGTCCATCAAGTCATCGTGAAAGTAGGAGAGCAGGGCATTCACCGACTCTTCTGTGAGGGAACCACTCACCTGGAGTTCCACAAGACACTGGTGTGCTCGCCCACCGCTGCTTCTCTTGTTCTCCGCCCTTGCGAGTCGCACCAGTGCATCCACATGTGCTGCTGTTAGTGGGCACTTCTCGAAGATTAGCTGTCTTAAATGCATGACGGGTAGCCGCAGTCCACGACCTAAATCGCTTGGTGTGAAGCTGCAGCGGGTGAGACGCACCGCGTTTATGTGTGCACCGCCGTTAAGAAGATTTTTGGCGAAGGCGGCAACCCGTGCGGCGGCGTGCGGCTCGTCTGTGTTGGAGTGACGCAGCGGCGGGAGGACGTCGAGGTGCCCGTTGCTCTCCGCGCGGGGAGCCGTTGGGACCGCGTCGCCAGCGAAGGGGATGTCTGCGACGTGCAGCGCGGCGATCCGCAGGGCGGTGGGGTCGCAGTCCTCCAGCAGGACGTCCTCCAGCACCGCGAGGACCGCCGCGTGTGGGGCCGGTCGGAGAGGGCCCAGCACCGACACACACACCGCCACACTAGAGTCCTGTGTCTGTATATGTGTTTGGATTTCTTCTTCTTCAATCTCAACTTCTACCCGCACAGGGAGGTACTCAGCGCAGCGCTCGAGGAGGGCAACAAGCTGATCCACACTGCGGAGGGGACTGCGTTCACTCTGTATCGCACGCACCACGTCTGCCGTTGTAAGAGCCGTAACGTGTATTGGATGGTTGATAGGGCTGGCTCCATTTGTCAATGGGCTGTTGAGACTTCCATGCGGTGCTTTTTGACCACCAATAAGAAAATACGATGTATCTTCAAAAGATAACACACTCGACTTTTTTTCACAATCTATTGTATAAGGCAGAGATTTATTATATTTTATCCGCGATGGGGGATGCACTGCGACTTCTTCTCTTTCTCCTCTAGTTACCACTAATAATGATGGATCTACGAAGGAAGTTGACCCAGTTGCTAAGGTTGACTCCTTACCTGACTCTGCATCAATAACAGTCCTTGTATCAACTCTCTCACTAGAATTATTTTTATCTGACACGTGATTCACCTCATCACCACGTTGCATTCTTAGATGTGTCATTAGTGGACGTATGAAACCGCCACACAATAAGCGTAGACCTGCTACCATTCCGCTGCAACACCACGTTGACTCCACCTCAGTCTCATCATCAGACTCTGTGATATCCCCTATCGCTGAGGCGTTGGAGAAATCCGTTCTTCTGCCGCTCTGTTCGTTAACGTTAGACTTCTGATAATGGTGCGGATCATTATTGCGAGCTTCTCGACGGGGTACCAGCAGTTTGCGCTGCTCAGCGTCACTCATATAACTTCTAGATTACTAAACTCTTCTCTCTGTATTATTTTTACACGCAAGTTCTGTATATATATATATATATATATATATATATATATATATAATCGCACAAACTGTACAGGTTTACCAACCAAATAATTAACTAATTAAACTACTTACAGTGAAATAGAAAGAAAATCAAACCTCTGCTTTATTGATTCACACACCCCTTTACTTTCCTTTGTATATACTTACAGGTGTGTTTACGTCTCTCTATCGTAGTACGTCACGAAAGAGGCTGCACTTTGACAATGGAAAAGAAATTAACGAAAGAAAAAAGTATACATTCTTTAAAAGGTCACAAAATGATACGCATGATTTCATGACAATAACAGATAAATAGAGCAACCCAGACACGATTATCAAACATGCCATTCGTTTGATAGACTCAAGAAAGCAAAGATAAAAAAAAAAGAAAGAAAAAACGGTAAAACCTTGTTCTACCTCTGCACAGAGAAGCACATCCACGCAGCTGCCTCTACTGCTCTGAGCAAAAGGAAAAACAACACACACACACACACACATAACCAAAGAAACAATTGTAAAGAGAATAGAAAACGAAAAAAAAAAAAAAAACAATAGAAGTAGTAACATTAATGTCAATAATTTTGGTGAAGAGAATTGAAGAACGAGCACTACACTAAAGATCCTCCCAGGAAATAATCTCAAACGCATGTAGTAGCTTCTCCTTTTCTCTTTGTGAATCCCAGAAGATTTTCTCCAGTGCTACATGACAGTCATCAGCTTCCTGCTGTAGCATCAAAGCCCACTGTTCTACCGCTTCCGGACAAGCACGGAAAATTTCCACCAATCGGCTCAACTGACGTCGATGTGATAACACGTCTCTGGCAAGCAAGTTAGTACTATGTAATGGACTGGCTGTTCGACAAAAACACTCAACTGGGCTGGACGCAAGGGCAACAGTGTTACCTAACTCATGCTCCTCCCTCCGCGACACGTCAGACACAGATTGTTTATACGTAGAATTGGTTTCCCCAGTGCAATATTCAGCATTCTTTTCAGATAATCTCTGTATAACTTGTAAGCGGGACTTTTCTTGTCGAAGTAAAAGTTGTGTGGTATTAAGACGATCAGTCTGAATACACAGCTTCTTGACTGCCTCATTTAATCTTGACTGTTTTTTAGCAAGGTCTGCACTAGAAACACAATCACAATATCGGCTGTAGTACGCATCAACTTCTAACTGAGCATGTTTGATACGCGTTTCCATGAAATCACGTAACTGAATAATAGAATCCACGCATGTTTCCATGGATTTCATATATTTTTCTCTTTTAATTTTGTTTTCTCTTATCGTTGAAGAAGAAGGTGGTAGAGGAACAGTTTTTTTCTTAGAAGATTGCCCACTGACATTGTTATTCCCAACTGATGGGTTACCACCACCAACGCTCAGAAGTAAATCATCCGTGGTAAGTATGCTTGAAGTAGAAGTTGTCGGTGTTAAGACAATTGGGGATAGATTCACATTGGGTTGTTGCCGTTGTCCATGTTGTTGTTTCCTTTCCAGTTTCAATATATCTTCCTCCTTTTTTTCTTCTTTTATATCTAATATTTCGTCAAGAAATGATGCAAGGACATCAACTTTAGCGTCACCACAACTATCACTGGAAGGATTATCCTCATGTTTTGTTGTTCTGATCAAAGTTGACTTAGTTTCAAGAGATTTCGCCATTTCAGGAGAATAGTCATCGTCAAGCAAACGATTCAGCAACAAAATGTCATCTGAAATTTCTTCTTCCTCTTCTTCTTCTAATGATAATGAATCAACAAATGAACTACTACTATCACTACTGGTATAGTTTAAATCATTTTTCTTTTCATTCTTATGGAATCTCCGTATTATAGGCCTATTTGTTCTTCTTTTTTTATTTTCCCCCTCCGTTTCAATAGTATGTGAGTTTACCTGAGGTAACGACATATTATCTGATGAGGTGTCCACAAACGGGCTGCTGCTGCTCTTACCATCAAAACTTGTCGATAAAGAAGAAGGTTGTGAGTGTCTTCGAACGATAGAATGAAGGTTTACCATCTTTTCAAGCATTTCTTCCAATAAGGTGTTAAAACGAGTGCATATATATGGTGGCAATGGGAAGCTTACATCAGTACTAAGTAGTTCTCTTCCCATACATGAGAACGAATCTGTTGACTCAACAAGATTTGGAGACAAAACATCTGACGACCCCACTACCGCTACTGACCCTTTTTTTGGTGACCCTTGCTCATTACTTGTAACGTTTATGTTCCTTTTTGAAAGGTCATCAAGGCGTAGTACTAACTTATTGTTACTTTGATATAATTTACTACGTGTGGTTAGAGTAAATCCATTAGGGTCGTTAAGTTTTGTGGCACAGATTGATGCACCGTCATCGGTAACCGCACATTTACGCGTTGTTGTACCTAAAGACATTTAAACTGCCATAAAGAAATCCTGAAAAGGGTAGAAATAATACAAAAAAACGAAAAAAAAAAAATAATAATATTTTACAAGACACGAATAAAACAGCCTATTCATTATATAGTATTCCAATCAAGGCACTCACTAGTTCTACTACTTTTTATTTGATTTTATATCAGGCCTTCCGAGTTTTTAAGTAAGAAAGAAGCGCTTCTTCTTCCTCACGAATTTTGCGTTCGACTTCCTCTAATTCTTGATCTATGGTTTTCTGTGACGGCGGCTGAGGCACTCCAACTGGATTTGATTGTGTTTGAAGAGGAACTGCCTCAGGCACAGTAGCAGTTGGTGGCGGAGCTGGAACTGAAGCTGTTGGCGGAGGTGGCACAGTAGCTGTTGGTGGAGCTGGAACTGAAGCTGTTGGCGGAGGTGGCACAGTAGCAGTTGGTGGAGCTGGAACTGAAGCAGTTGGTGGTGGGGGAACACCAGTAGTATTGGTATTGGTATTGGTATTGGTAGTATTAGTATTACTAGTACTAGTTGTAGTAATTGGTTCTGAGTGCTTTGGGAAAGAAGAGGGACTTTTTGCCGCTTTGCTGACATTGTCTGATGTGTCCATCCCTATAGCACCCCCACTCACATCAGCAAGTAGAACGCCGCTCTTCAGACCAGACGATATTCGTTCCAGTCCACGTAAAGTTTCTCCAATAGAACCGGAGGAACTAGGTGATGATGATTCACCTTGACGTCGCCTTAACTCTTCATGAAGAGTATCACAATCTTCTATTGCCATTTGTAGTTTTGTCCATACCTCAATGTAATGTTGATCCATGCGTTCATACACACTTGCCTTGTCTGTGATAACTCGCTGCAGACGTTGTACCTCATCCAGCGCAATGCGTAACTTCGCTTCCACAGTTGCCACTTGAGAACGTTCCGCACGCAGTTGTTTTTCCAGTTCCTCACTTCTAACAAGACCTTCACTTAGTGACACACGTAGTCGATCTGTTTGAACTCTATAGTACTCTTTTTCGTACATAATATCTTTATTGGATTTAGTTTCTTCATTATCTTTTGTGTTTGGGGTACCGACAGCAGAGAGTTTATCCTCCAACTCTCGACGTTTTCCCTGTTCTGTGTTCAAGGCGTTAAGTGTATACTTGTGAAGTTGATGTAATTCTTCTTCTTTTTTCTCAGAAACACGCAACGCTGCACGTAATTTTACATTCTCTGCAGCTAACATTTCCTTTTCTTGCTGCTCACTCCGGAGACGTTCTTCCACAGATTCCTTTTCAAGTCGTAGTCGCTGAATTGTGAGTTGTGACAATGCGGTATCTGCGTGATGAAGTGAGCGACGCTGCCGCTCCAAATAAATATTTGAATCTGCATTCTCATTACCGTTTCGCTCATCATGCACATTCATCCACGGTGCAAACGGATCCACATGAGAAGTAGTGAGAGGACACATCATATTTAAGGGATATCCAGCATCACATCGCTCCAGTGCCATACCAGATCTATCGGCAGATAAAGTTCCCTGATGAGTACCCTGTTCTTTAGCCCGCTTAAGTACCGCCACCTCCATCTCTAAACATGCTACTTGTTTCTTTAGATTCTTTACAAGTGCCGACTCTAACTCTGCATGACGACGCGGGACATCATCCGCTTCAACGGCTGTTGAATCATCTTCACCAGGAACAGGAATGTGAGGTACAAGAAGACGTGTCTTTCCTTCACCAACACGTCGGTGAGATGAAGAATTACGCATTCGTTCAGCTTTCCTAATCAGCGTATTCATTTAATGTAACCACGTACACACCATAGTTGTTAACGATCCAAAAAATAACGGTAAGAAAAAAATGAAGAGAAAACAAAGACAAAAAAACTCTGTTCACTTATTCACTGGAAAGAATGTATTTGATATAACAAAAAAACATTGTAACAATAAAATAAACAGTACACCAAAAATTAAATCATTAAAAAAAAAAAAGAAACGAAGAAAATGATTGGCATGACAACGCTGGAGAGGACAACCTCCACCAGTTGGCGTTCAGTAATAGTATCAATAACCTTAGCCTTAATAGTAGTAGTAATAGTAGTAGTACTAGTAGTAATAATAATAATAAACTGATAATGCCACCAAGAGCATTCCAGCATATAGATTATTCTTACCTTACTATCTACCTACTTGTTTAACTGCTTACTTGTCGTCGGGGACGGTAATGCAGACATCCACACCGGCGTCGATCTGGAAGGAGGTGATCTTCTTCACCAACTCCGTGGGCGCGCGGAGGTCGACGAGACGTTTGTAGATCTTCATCTCATACGTATCCCATGTGTTTGTACCGTTACCGCAAGGCGTCTTACGCGTTGTGATCTTCAGTGTACGCGTGGGCAGACGCACCGGCCCGCGCACCTCCACCTTCTCGTTGCGTGCGTGCGTGAGGAGCTCCGCCACGACGTTCTCCACCGCCTTGGCGTTGCGGCTCGTCATCTTCACAATGACACGCTGGGTCTCCTGCGAGGGAGCCTGGTCCTTCTTTACGTAAGCCATTTCGACGTGATCACACCTATAGTGAAGAGAAAAACAAAACAAAAAAAAATATATCCCAGTAGGAAGAGAAGAAGAAGAATTAAATAGAAAGAAATGAAAGAATTGGGGTAGGGAGAGGGAGAGAAAGGAGAGGGGTATAAGTTAGTAAACAACGAGAATATACAAAACAGGTTTCATACTAGTTTCCGTAACAAAACCAAGAATAACAATAGCATCATGGATAATAAGGCAAGGTTCTTTTCAATTTTAAGTTACCTCTCTGTAACACAGAGCACAGCAACTATGCAAACACCACCCAAACACGTAAAAATAATGATAACAATAAGAATAATAATACGAATAAAAGAAACACCTTATCAAGGTTTCAAAAAAACTTTGGAGATGTCTGATTTTCTCTCTCCGTGTGTGAAAACATCCATTCTGGTGGCGGTGGAGTTGCTGCTTCGTTCAGTGATGAGAACGAAAGCTGTGCCTTACCCTTTGCCTTTCGTTTTAGCGCAGCTCTGTACGCCACATGAACCATTGGATCCTTATGATCCTTCATATGTTCATAGGACTCGAGTACCATATCCAGAATACTATCGGGTACATCAAAATCCTCCTGGTACAAGCGTACTAATTTATCCTCAACCACGCGTTTGTACTCGTGATTTGCAATGTTATCAAAACGAGCAAAGCGCATTAAAGCACTATGCCACTGACCACGCAAGTAGGCAGCTTCAATAAGAAGACGCATCTTATCAAATGTTTCAGGGTATTCACGATCCCGCATCTCCTTATTAAGACGATCAAAATGTTTCCAATCACGCAGTTTCATACAACAACGTAAAAGTGACATATATACTACTGCTCCACCGTTTTGCATAACAGGGAGTTGCGCAAATCGCTGTGCTTCATCAAAAGAACTACTTGCCTCAATACGAGATGCTAATACCAATCTGTACACTTGTGAAGATATTGGACGATTATCTTTTTTCATTATTTTTAGAATGCGCATCGCATCTTCCCACTTTCCTGCCATAACACAAGACCGCAAAGGGGATTCATAGCTTTGCTGATACATCGTCAAACCGTTATTTTGCATGGCATCAAAGAGAGTAACTGCGAGAGCCCAGGTGCTGGGATTCGGCACTAACGCATGTCTCTCCATGGCGGAAACTTCTTCACAGGAATTAACAGCGAGACGAACACTACGTTCATCCGGTGGCGAACGCGTTGCGATCATCTCTCGCATTTGCCCCACAACCTCCACATGTTGGCCGTGACGGTAACAAAGACGAATTGCCGCATCATATGCCTCCGGTGGAATAAGGATATTCTGCTGCGCACAGCTGTGAAGAAAGTGGAGACACTTCTCCCACTCCCCACCAACCTCCCAGAGCCGTGCCACTCGTTCCACTAGAACAGGTGTTAATTCCACATGCTTCCGAAAACCTTCATTGCCTTTTCGGAGTGAAATAAATTCCCTTAAGGCCACCTGCCATGGTAAATTATTATCATTTGTATCACCACTATTATCATTCAAATTCTTCTCTGTTTTCTCCACTACTGTAGGATCTTTGGAATGTGATTCATTATAAAAATTGGTAGATGCCACTAATGCCGCACGAAGATACTCAGATGTAAATTCATCATTTACAATTGGTGTATGGGATGCGTTCTTCTGCAAGAGAACTGTATCACGTTGTCGCAGACGCAAAAATTGATTATGAGCCTCTTTGAAATCTCCACAGTCTGCACAAGCAGCCATATAGGAAAGATGTACTTGCATAGAACGAGGTTTATTGATCTCTCGGTGAAAATCAGTATAAATACGACGTGCCACATTTAACATTCCTCGTTTTCCACAACGTTGAATAGCATCAGACAACATTTCACTTGAAGGTGTAATATTATGCTGTGCAGCATCATTTAATGCAGCGATGCATTGTGACCATTGACTGGCATGCTGGTGTTGATTAAGAAACGCTTTTAATTTTGCTACTCGTGTAGCATCACGACGTGCCAGTAGTTTATCACTGCGCAACTTACTGTTAAGGAGTTCAGCATACGCAACTCTTTTCTGCATTCAGTTAAAGGGTCTGCTTCAACACCCATCTTTATTAGTTTATTTGTTTTTTTGTTGTCGTGCGTACGCAGAGTAAGGGATCAGTCAGACAGACACAACCCCAGTAACACATTCCAAAAAAAGAAATAGAAAATGAAGAGAGAAAGAAAACGAAAAGAAAAAAAAAAACAAAATAGTTACACAGTTAGATAATAAAAAAGAAATAACAAAAAATGAAAAAAAAAATTAAATGGAAAACAAAACAGATAATAATGACAACACAAATCATTAAAAAAAAAGAAACGAAGAAAATGATTGGCATGACAACGCTGGAGAGGAGAACCTCCACCAGTTGGCGTTCAGTAATAGTATCAATAACCTTAGCCTTAATAGTAGTAGTAATAGTAGTAGTACTAGTAGTAATAATAATAATAAACTGATAATGCCACCAAGAGCATTCCAGCATATAGATTATTCTTACCTTACTATCTACCTACTTGTTTAACTGCTTACTTGTCGTCGGGGACGGTAATGCAGACATCCACACCGGCGTCGATCTGGAAGGAGGTGATCTTCTTCACCAACTCCGTGGGCGCGCGGAGGTCGACGAGACGTTTGTAGATCTTCATCTCATACGTATCCCATGTGTTTGTACCGTTACCGCAAGGCGTCTTACGCGTTGTGATCTTCAGTGTACGCGTGGGCAGACGCACCGGCCCGCGCACCTCCACCTTCTCGTTGCGTGCGTGCGTGAGGAGCTCCGCCACGACGTTCTCCACCGCCTTGGCGTTGCGGCTCGTCATCTTCACAATGACACGCTGGGTCTCCTGCGAGGGAGCCTGGTCCTTCTTTACGTAAGCCATTTCGACGTGATCACACCTATAGTGAAGAGAAAAACAATAAAAAAAAATATATATATATCCCAGTAGGAAGAGAAGAAGAACAATGAAATAGAAAGAAATGAAAGAATTGGGGTAGGGAGAGGGAAAGAAAGGAGAGGGGTATAAGTTAGTAAACAACGAGAATATACAAAACAGGTTTCATACCAGATTTGATTGTATTAAAGGGAATAAACTTCACGTTTTTTTTTTATTTTTTTTTCCCCCACGGCTATGCAACAACTTTTCATCTCCAAGTTTTTTTTTGTTTAGTTTCAAACAAAGGTCCTCTTGGCCAGTTCATGTGTCATCACTGGATTTGGAGAGAGGATTGCTTTGAGATCAGCACCTTGTGGAATCATTACTTCTGCATCTCGCACTACAGTGGTACCACTTTTTTCTGTAGAAGTGTCTTCTTCAGGTTTAAGGAATTCACGAACAACAAAATCCCAATATCGACGTTCTCGTTGGATGTCTATCTTTGGAGAGAAACGAAGAAGTTTTATTAGGGCATCATCGGAGTACATATCCCATGGAGCCAGACGCAGGGTATGAAGAATACGAAATACGTGAATAAAAAATGCTTTTTCGGCAGTTTTACGAAATACACAACGACCCAATGCGACACGTCTACCATAGAGTTTCTCATTTACTGGAAGTTCCATCCAGTAATTATTACATGGAACCCGCAGACGACCATTCCAGTGTTGTAAACCCTGATAATGCTTTATGTGTGCCCAGTGATCACTGCTAGTCCACCCTACAGTCTGTAGATATGTTTGAAAGAGACTACGAAGTAAGGTACCGGTATCGGGTAAACCTAATTTATAACACTTTTCTGGTTCTACATCTTTCACAACATCAAAGTCTCCAGCATCTGCCATCATTACATTCCATACATCTTGGTGAGGTGGTATTCGTGTAGTTCCCGTACCAGGTACTTCACGGTACCCAGGAGGTGAGCGAATAATAGTTAGTGAACTATTATTATTGTTACTATTCTCATCACTATCCATTGAATCACGTGGTAAAATAAGACCAAATCGCCTTCGTAAATCCAAAAGATGTTTAAGTTTTTCTTTATTCTTTGTCACTGGTATATTGAGAGCACACAAGGTGTCAATGGCATGTAAAGCACAGAGTTCACGAGCCGTATCTGGTGTTGCACCAATCGCATTCCCACCACGTACTCCATATCTTTCAGGAAGTGGTAAATAAATACTACATCGAAACTGATTTTCACCATATATATAATTTACAAAAGCTGATTCATAAGGATGTTGTTGTTCCACCATAAACTGTCGTAACATTAATTGAGAAAATTCAAATAACTCCCGATACTGCGGTTCGTTGCATATATTCACTTCTACAAGATGTTGTCGAAGGTCTGCAATAACACGACGATTCAATGCGACCAATTTCTCTGCTAAACTCAGTGGGGCTCCCCGTTTACGTGTTTTCTTAATACGTGGCCAATGTTTTAGTGGTTTAGGCAAAAGTGCACGTGTGGCGTCGTCTAATGTACGTGGAAGTGGGGAAACAAGACGTCCAAACCGTAAACAGGCATCAAAGTGTTTTGTCTGCTGTTCCACATTATGTGTGAGTGGGATACCGAGAAAACAGAGAAGTAACTCTGCATGCATAGCGCATAGTGCCATCGCGTGAGTAATGTTCATTGCCTTTCCTGTTGCCTGCAAGTCTGGATAAGAAGGAATAGGTGCGGTGGCGGTATACCAAGTGATATTCTTTTGGCAATGTGGACCAAATCCAACATCCACTTGTGTTAATTCTTCACTTGCTCTTGTTTCTACACAGGCTTCAAATGAAGCTTGTAGATGAGATGATTTGTATAACTCATCCACACGTTGAATTGCAAAGTGATCGAAAAGACAAACTAACCCTGGAAGTTTATCATGTTGCCACCAGGTACCTTTTTCTCCTTCTACTAAATCATATACTCCACCTTCACTTTCATCAATAAAACCAACGATACGATGTTCATTAAGTGGATGAGAATTAATTAAAGCAAGACGCATAGCAGGACAATGTTGTGCAAAAGGAATAGATTCCATACTTGTACTAATAGTAGTAGTCGTAGTAGTAGTATCAGATAAAGTTCCTTTCGGTTGTAATACTTCTACTTCCATAGGATCAATTTTAATAGGAATATTTTCATCATCACCTTCTTCCATTCCTGGAAATTGTGTATTATGTTTAAAGATACGCGCTTGCAAGTAGGCGAGTTCACCGGCCATACCACGTAAAAAAGGATCACCTCCACATCGTCGAGAAAAATCATTATATCGTCTCTTCTTTGTATAATAGTCTGGTTGATAACTCTGCAGTACTGGATATGATCTTGTTCCTCCTGGATTACGCAGAGACTTTGTCTTTGCATTCCCATTACCAACACTAGAACTAGAACTAGAACTAGAACCAGAGACTCCTTTATTCATTATGTTTGTTGTCTCATCTGTATCCATGGGTTTATACAAGACAGGGAATGGTAAATCCGAAAGAGACAAATCCCGTACGGGATCTCCAGGCATTGGAGCATAACGTCCTTCTCGTTTGGCTTCCTCAACACGTTTACGTTGTAGTCGCTCAGATGTAAAGAGTGGGATTCCCAACGCATCTAAACAACGTTCACCATGCATACACGCAGCCACAATAGCATCCTTTTCCATTTTTCCATATCCAACGGCTCGTAATTTTGTTTGTTGCATAACTCCAGAAAAAAGTACTTCCACTGGTACTAAAAGTTCAGCTTGAAAAAAACTTTTATCTGCCGTTTTGGTAACAGAGAAAGGAGAAGCTCTTCTGTTACTATCATCTTGTGGATCTGTGTATCGGGTGAGATAGTTTAACATGCGAGATTTCGCAAACATGTCTAACTTCTCTAATACAGAAACATCCTGAGCGGGATGATGTTCCTCGACCGTATTCTTATCTGATGATCCATCTGTAGAGGAAGAGGTGGAGGTGGAAGAAGAAGAAGAAGATGTGTTTGCCGTATTCGTTTCATATCCACGACGACTACAAGTTAAAGCATACGGAAAAAAAGTTTTGGTTTTCTCTGAAACAGCAAAGAACAGAGAAGATAATTTCTCTCCACGTCCATGTGTTTTACTGCTTAGATACCTCTTGCCAAGACTCAAGAAGGAATGAGGAGTACAACTGTTGTTGTAGATAATAGTTAGCCGTGAAGTGGGGTTAAGAAACGTTGAACGCATGCAAAAGGCATTACCAAGTCTATTGAATAAAACCTCTTTTGATTAATGTTCGTTTTTTTTTTTTTCTTTTTTGTATTATTTTTACTATTATTATGTGAATAAATGTGAACTTATGTGTGTGTGCGGCTTCTCACTATATAATTACAATAATCACAAGAAGACCGAAGAAAAAAAAGAAGAATTATTTTCAAAATTAATTAAACAAAAGACATATGTTATGTTATTCGATTTAACACTCTCAATAGTAGTCCAGATGAAATGAAACCCTTCTTTTCTCTTTGTTTTCCTTCTTAATACGTTTTTTCTCCCAAAGGATGCATTTACCATTACCCCATTAGGAGTTTAACGTTACGTACATACATACAAACATACCCTCACATAAATATATACAAAGTTATGATACTCAAAGGGTTATCTCACACTTGCAGAGTGAAACAGGAGAAAAGGAAAAGTCTCATTAAATACAGAAGCAAAACACAAAGAAGGAAAAAAAAAAACAATTGCTTTTACAACAATACTCGTGCTGAGCCATTCTTACCTCATGGGGAAACCACATATATATATAAGGTTACCAGTGAGGAAATCTCACACACGTACAAAAAAGAAAAAAAAAAAAAACCACTGGAAAACCAGCAATATTACAAAAAAAAAAGAAATGGATTTAGAGGGAAAAAAATTAATACAAGAGCAAGTTGAAGGTATCCATCAGAAAATCTAGGTCCAAAATTAAAAAAAAAACGCAACAAAATAGAACAGTATAAACACTGTATGTGTGTGCGCATATATAAATAAGTATATAAATAAATATTGTTACTATATCAAGGTATCTCATTCTCATTTTCATTCTCTCAGAAAGAAGGACATCCCATTCCAAGTCGGCGCATAACACTTGCCTGTCCCTTTTCTGTCACCTTCAGTTCATCCCAGAGAACTTCAAACATACACCGTTCAGCGCAGCGAAGTAAATTAGAATCACAACCCGCAGCAGCACCAACATGACGACTCAGTACTTCCTCATCTACATCCACGAATGCATCCTCATTTACCTTCATGCTTAATAACAGAGCAGCAGTGAGGAATAACTGCACATTCCACAGTTGTACACCAAATACATGGCTGCCAGCACAGGCACGACAGAGTGTATCATCCTCACTCTCAGAAATTGGACCTACCGAGTAGAGATCAGATGATGTGGGAGATAAAAGAAGAGGAACACCTTTGCTCTTATCATCACTAGCGATAGGATTACTACTGCTGTTGCTACTGATATTACTATTTCCGCAAGAACTCTCATTTAAAGGCACTCCTCCTAATGTTATTGGAGGTAAAAACTCTACCGATAAAATATTCTCCTCTGTGTTGTTATTAGTTTTACTACATATCATACTTTGAGAGGCATTACGTAATGATATTGTATTTTTCTGCTGCAAGAGAATATTTTTTACCTGCATACGCTCCAGAAGCCAAAGAGAGTGCAAGAGAGTACTTAAAGAGCAACCGAATGTATGTTGTGCGGTATGAAATAAAACTCCAACAAACTCTTCAACAAACATTTCCAATTGTTTAAAGGAACTGCAAAGACGTCGACCGATCATTCCAAGAGGAAAGGTTTCTGCCGTTATTGCTTCCTCTATTGAGGCAAGAGGGAGTGGAACCACAGGAACACAACTGTGCGGTGAACATGGTAGTGTGAATAGAGAGGAATTAAATGAATTAATACATTCCTCACTGCTGCAAGCTCCAATAGCAACAACGTTGTGAATAAAGGAAGTAACTGCCGTAACAAAGAGGCTATTATTAATATTATTATTATTATTAGCCATCTCACACCTTTCCTCTAGTGGTTCACATAAGTCAATAGAAGATCATGGAAAAAAAAGGAGGAGAGTGAGAGAGAGAAATGAAGTACAGAGCGTTATTTTTCTTTCATATATATATATCCCTCTCTCTCTCTCTCTATCTCTATGAATGAACTGAACACAATTAATATTTTTACAAAAAAAAAAAAATACAAACAAACACACCTATCATAAATAGATAAATAAACAAATATGCAGAAGAAAGAAAAACAAAATTAAAATAAAATAAAAAAACTGAAAGGAAATAAGAACAGGGAAACAAATTATAAGAGATCCTGTCGAAACGGCACACCACGTTCAGGGTCCAATTGAGGGGCGTGAAAACACCGAAAGTGCGTGGCTTTGAGATTCGGAAAGACGGCAATTACACCCACACCGAGAGGTTTACCACAAACCGCACATATCCGCTTCTCATCTACATACACACATCGCTGCTGTAATAAATCTCGATGACGTTGGGCATCTGCAATCATGGATTTTGTTGCATTTGCATTTACTTCCGCCATTTGAATTTTATTACATAATGTCTGAAAGGCTCGTAAAAGATATGAGGATATTTCAGCAACACATACTTCATCTGGTAATGAAGTCATAACAGAGAGAGGATTAATACAATATGAATGTTCATTTAAAACGGTAAGAGCAGCAGAGAGAAGTCGTTGTTTACCCGCTGGTGGAACAAGTAATACATGAAGAAGAATATTAAAATATTCGTTAAAAGTATGTCCATCATGAAATGGACCATTATGTCCAGTAAGAAGAATTTTATCATCTTTTTTAATAGATAATTCATCTCGCTTCTCATTACGTATTCCATGAGGGTCACAAAAAATATTAATATTTTTTCTCTCTGTAAACCATTGTGTACTATTACCTATACTTTGAAGGTCTCGTACGTGTTGTTCTTCACAATACCGCACAGCCGTATTAATATCATCCAGTTCATATACTAACTTTGTTAAAGCACCAAGATGATCACCAGCTTGTTTTAACACTAATACTTGTTCTTCTATTAAACCAGCATCAAGAAGTTGTGCAAGTACTGTATCTGTATCATAATATTGACTAAACATAAGAAAAGTTAATAAACTCCTACGTGAGGAACCACGAATACCTGATTCATAACCTGCTGGAACTCTAACAGCATTGGCACTTAAACCTTGTACACCAAAAGACTGTAAAACTTGAATCATATCAATAAGATTTATTGCATATAATGTATGAAGCTTCGAATCGGTATTATGATCAACATATATGAGATGATGTAAGTATTCATGTAATGGATATCCTCCATATCCAATTAACATAGGGAGAATAAGAGATACAGATGGTTGTTTTTCTTCTTGTCTTCCTTGTTGTGATGGTCTCCTCACTAATGCGGTAAGAGCGGCAGTGATATTCACACTTAACATCCATGGAAGAAAACGAACGTAAAGTTCATCATCACCACTCATTCGCAGTACAACACCGGCTTCATACACCAATCGCTGTTTCTGACATTGCTCCAAGGCTTCCTCAAACTGTCCATTACAAGATAAAACTAAAGGGTATATCATAGGTTTAGGACGTACACCTCCCTCACTCACGTAGTGAAGACATTCCTCTGGGTTTAGAGTTGAGGATGTAAGAAAGAGATTTGTTAATTCTTCATCTGTATATGGAACACATTCAAGTACATAAAGGAGAAAAATAGCAAATTCAATAGCTTGTTGTTCTACACTATTAGTTCCTAATCCAAGAGAACGTCGTCGTAGAAGCAATTCATACAATTGATGATAAGCTTCACCACTACTTAATGAAAGTTCTACTTTAGATTCCCATTGATTTCCTTTTTTTAATGGACGACGTAATTCTGGTAAAAACTCTAATAATTCCACTGTTGGTGTTGCTGCAAGTTCAAAATAACGAAAAGCTTCATTATATTTTTTCTCTTTTAAAGCATGACGTGCACATGCATTATAAAAACGTCTTAGTAACTCATCTTCTCTAGATTCATATGCGTATTCCACATACCGTAAAGCTCTTTCATAAAGACCAGCATTTATATAAAGTGCTGCTATCGTTTTTTTAGGCATAAGTACTAATAACTGTACACTATATATACCTATACCATAAATACCTAATAATGTTGAATAGACATGATTTGGTACTCCATCAAATCCATAGAGAGATCCACTATTACATGGAAATTCTTCTCCATCTAAGCATGACTGCATTAACACATTACCATCTGTCTTCACACCTACTATAAAAGGTGAAACAAAAGCAACATCTAAAATAGGTTCTGACATTCCAATTGGAATTGCAGTTTCTAATTCAGTTTCTGTCGTTAAATCCATCAAAGCTAATTGGTTGTTACCTATTCGAATCAATATATGGGAAGTATCACCATACCCAATTACATTACGACACAAGGGACCTTGAGAAAAGGTTTCTACTATATCCATCCTCTGTTGAATCTGTTGAGTATTGACGTTAATTATACAATAATCATATGGACTTCCTGTAACGATTATATCACCTTGCCATGCCAGAGTTTTTGTGCCTTCTGATATCATTATATGAGGACATTCAATAACTGTAGATTCCCCAGTATTAGAGTTTCCACTACCAATAATTTGTGAATTTCGTTCCGTATATTCCACAAGGATTAACCAACGATTGATAATTAAGGCTAATCGATGATGATGTTGTTGTTGTTGTTGTTGTCGTGGTCCATTTCCCTGTACTTGAGCCACACAACATGTTGTGATAGTTCCTTGTGGGAGTGGAAGATGCTTAAAAATACCAACACTATTTAAGGATACATAGTGCAATGCGTCAAGAACACCACCTGCAACTACTAAAAGCAAAGGTGTAGAGAATTCGTTATCAACATGAAGAAATGTAACGCCATAAGAAGAAGTAATAATACTTTTACCATTTCCAATACTTTCGTTATTCGAAGCGCCAAATTGTTTGCAGTGAAGAAAAGAAGAAGAGACATCATAACGCACCGCATCGTAATCAAGACGTGTGAGAACGCGGTAAACATGTAGAGTATCATTAGCGCAACCAACATAAAGAAGACCCCGCAGCTCTTCATTACTAGTGAGATGCATTTCTCTCAGCAAAGGTTCTCCATTGGTACGCTCCACGGGAAATAATACCGCCGTATTTACACGTGTTTTCTCATGTGAGGAATCAAATAGTGTCTTGCGTTCCATATATATATATATATATATATATATATATATATATACTATATGTTTATTATGACCTCGTGTTTTTTGTTATTTTTACTTTTTTTTTTTATGTGGATAGTAACAATAACAATAACAACTATTATAGTTGTTTTGTTATTGATATTATTTGAATATTTGAGACACAAAAAGACAAAAAGAAAAAGAAAAGAAAATAGTCAAAAACACCATACAACATGAAGCCACACACAGAGACTGGTCCATCTCTGCATGTAGCACTACGTAGTAATGAAAAGGCTAGAAAGACAAAAGTCAAAGTACCAAAAAAAAAAAAAAAAATAGCTATTCAGTGTTCCCTTTTTAATAATTCTATTCTCATCATTTCCATTCGTTGTTACCCTAACGCATACGTGTGTGTGCTAACAAACATACACCCGTCCCTCCGCCTTTTATTTTTATTTTCTCTCTCTCTCTTTAGTTCTTTGCATGAGTCTGTTTCTGTATCCATAATCGTATACAGAAGCAATATACACATTTATATGATATTTCCTTCTACAGGAAGACATAAAACGCGGACAAACGCAAAAAAAAAGAGAGAAAGATCCACACAACACATACACGCAATCGTTAACAATTCATGCAAAGGAAGGTGACAAGCGAATATAAATGAGAGAAACCAAAAAAAAAAAAATCTTTTCCTCTAATACCAATACGCCACTACTATATATATATATATATATATATATATATATATATATATCACTACCAAAATACCACACTCCTCCCCATTTATACAATAGAATAAAAGTGAGGTATTCATTCCCACCCCCCTTTAAATTTTTTTTTTGTTGTTGTTACGGATTTCTACTTTTTTTTCCCCCTTTCCTTTCTTCATTCCTTCCATTCTGATTCCCAAATACACCTTCACGTTCTGTATTCATCCATTCAATAAAACACGCAGCTGGATGTTTCACAAGTCTCCAAGGCCAATTTTACGTGAAGAATGTTTTCGTACTAAGAAAACAAAAAACAAAAACAAAAAGAGATACACACCTATACTCCGAGCAAATCCACTTACATTCATTCTGCTATTTCTACTATCTAACGGAGGGTAGGCAGGGGTCCAGGGCTGTGACCGCTCTTCTCCTCATGCGGAATTTCAAGAGGCAACAACTTACCCTTACCACCCACACCGTAGTCCTTGTCGCGTGTTGAGATGAGAAGTTCATCCCCACGGCCAATAGACTTAACATACTCCACCCACGGGTCGTTAGCCGCAACGCCAAGCTTCGTGAGCTCACGGACGGGATCTGTGATGTAGTACTCCGGTGCACGGTGTACCCAGCGGTAGACTGGCTGATCCAACTCCTGCTTCTTGTTGAAGCGCTGTGCAGCAATCCATGGCTTTGTTGTCCACAGACCAACGTTGTAGAGTGTAATATCAGGATGCAGAAAAGCAAGACGGTACGAGAACCATATTGTGTAGAGAACGACAATAGTGGTAAGTGCACGTGCAGGTAAAGCCTCCATAGTATTGGCTTGCAGACGCATCTTTTCAATCGTACTCACCTCTAGCCAGTGCACATAGCGTCCATAAGGGTTACGGGAGAAGAATCCCGTAGCAAATCCCTGCGGCAAAAGATTGTAGCGGAAGCGGTAAAGCCAATGCAGCGGCTTTGGTGAGAATCCCTCAAGATAGCCAGTGCTAACACCATCATGGACAGTCGCAACATAAGGATTGTGTGTGATTGGCTTTACGTACACTCCATGATCCACAACATTGGCGCGGGCCATGCCGCCGCACATCTTTGAGGTTACGCGAGACATTTTCTGCTGATAACAAAGTAATTTTCTCTTTCCTTTTTTTATTCTACTACTCCTTTCTTACTGTTCCTAAACAACACTCTTTCTGCTATTGTTTTCTTTGGTTTCCTCTCCCTACTGTTATATAAGCAATTTAATAGGACAAAGAAAGAAAGAATGAAAGAAAGAGGTGAAATAATAATACTAATAAAAATACAGGTGAATCATTAAAACCAATGTTCGTTTTCTTTTCTTTTTTTTTGGGGGCTCCACCAGCAATGAACAGTTATGATGGAACAAAAAAAAAGAAATGACCATGTAAAAAAAAAAAAAAAAACAATAATAAAATGGCCAAATCAAAAAGAGAACATGAAGAATAACAACGAAAAAGATATAAAAAGAGATACAGCGAGAGGTTCAGCTACAATACTCCAATTACCCCATTACCTGTTTATCTTCATATCATTATTATTCGTTAACAACAACAACAACAACAAAAGAGCAGATCATACAGAATGTCCTCTGCAGCATAACAACAAAAACAACAACAACGGCAGCAAAACTAAAACAGCTCACCTAGTCATTCCCTCCTCACCACAGAAAAAGAAAATAAAAAATCTTCTTATTCTTGTAATTCCAACTACTCAGGCAGGTGCGATCATCTCAATGTAACGACTGTTAACCATTGCACTTTTACATCGCCGCAGTTCCTCTCGTGTACCCTCTTTTCCATGTTGTCCAACGCCGCGATTCCACACATAATGCACCACTTCCTCAAGAAAGATATCACCCTTATCAGCATCAACGGCCGTGAGTCGACCCTCCAATTCGTGGTCCTTGTATGACAAAAATACAATTACGCGTCTACCGTGCAGACTAAGGAGAAAGTCATGGGGAAGAATAGACTGTGCCTTCTCAGATTTCTTCTTTGCAAGCGCAGGGGCAACGGCGTTAAACTTTACGTTCCCGCTCATAGCACAGGAGGGAACTACAAATGTGAAGAAAGATACTACACAAATGTCAACTTTCTTAACAAGAAGTTGCCCAATTACTTATACAATTGGGGTTACTTTCTTTTTACTTAATTTTCTTTCTTGTTTTTTTTCCCCCTACAGAAGCTACACCTTCAGGAAAACGAACAACAGTAGTAGTAGCAGAAGCAACCACCACTACCACTACCACATCAAAAAAAAAAAGAAAATAACAAATAGAAAGAGATAGAAAAAAAAAAAAAAAGACTGTCGGTTAGTAATACACAGATACACGTGCTGAACATCATTTGATGGGAGCAGTNAGAAAGAGATAGAAAAAAAAAAAAAAAGACTGTCGGTTAGTAATACACAGATACACGTGCTGAACATCATTTGATGGGAGCAGTTAGCACACAAACCAACGCCCCATCCACTAAAAAGGAAAAAGAAAAAAGATTTAATCACAGAAAATATGAAAAAAAAGAAACGAGAAAAAATTCCGACAAAAAGGTGATGTGTCGCACCCACGTCTTCCCCTGCCATATCCACAAACCAATTCCTCCGCAGTTCCCGTCCTGTGCTTTCTTTCCATCATCGTGCGTCTGTTCTTTCCTCTTACAGACGGCGACCACGGCGGGAACCCTTTCGGCGTGTGGAGTCGGTTGGGATGGGGGTGACGTCCTCAATGCGGCCAATCTTCATACCAGCGCGGGCAAGGGCGCGGAGGGCGGCCTGCGCACCGGGGCCGGGGCTCTTCGTGCCAACACCACCCGTCGCGCGCATCTTTACGTGCAGGGCGTTGATGCCACACTCGCGGCAGCGGGCAACGACGTCCTGCGCGGCCATCATCGCAGCGTACGGGGAGCTCTCGTCGCGGTCCGCCTTCACCTTCATACCGCCGGTCACCTTGCAGAAGGTTTCGCGGCCGGACATGTCTGTCACGTGCACGAAGGTATCGTTGAAGGAGGCGTAGATGTGCACAACGCCATACACCATCTCATCCTTAGCGGCGCTAGAGCCGTAGAACTTCACTTCCTGCTTCCTTGACATGGTTACGGGTCCTTTTTCACCTTCTAATAAAGCGTAAGGAAAAGGTTAAAAAAAAAAAAAGTGAAACAAAGATTTAAATAGAAAATAAAAAAAATAATAATGATCAAAGATAAATAATCTAAGAGTAATAATAATCAATACCAAACAATATCCATGAAGTACGGAAAATTACACACACGTGTAAACATTATATATATATAAATATATATATTTCCTCATCTCTACATCAATCCACAAACATACACACGCACAACTTCCATGGCGTGGGTGTGACAAACATCACATTAGCTGACTCATACCAATCATCAATACAGGTATTTCTCCAACGCAGCTCTTCAACTTTCCCATAGAATCTATAGAATAAGCAAAAAAAAAGGAAAACCAAAACTTCAGACAGTCGCCATAGTGGCAGAAACGTTCATTCCCAGTACAGTCCATAAAGAATAACATTAACGTGCATGGTCTCAGTAGAATACGTGTACGTGGCATATCCATCTGTAACAGGATCCCAAAGCCCACGAGACGCAATGCGAATTCCTTGGTGTGCAGCCTCTAAGACTGTAACATGTGTGACAAGCTTGTATCGTTCATAACCAAGCCGCACAACACGCTGCTGTATCTCACTACAGATATCCTTAATTAGAGGTTGAATCTCATCATATACATACGGTCGGTTCTCGCCAACAAGTTGGTGGCAGACTTCCTTGATAACCGCCTCCACCACACTTACACGAAACTTTGTGCCCGGCCGAGGCAGTGTAACAGGGTCTCGCTCAGCCTCGTAATACTCACTCGTCATACTTGTATATATTCGTATACACTCTTTGCAAAGAACAGAACGTGACAAAGAAAAAAAGAAAAAGAAAAAAAGAAAAAGAATTGATTGGCAAGCCACCAAATACTCATCCAAAACAATATAAGAAAAATACAATAACAATAACAAAAACAAATATGGACGCACCGCTCGTTCCAAACACCTAAAAAAAAAATATATCCTCCCAACTCACACATGAACAAAAAATCCCACAAGAAAAAAAAAGAAAAAGTATGTGGCCCACATATATGGGTCGAAAATTGCCGTCATATGTTTTTTTCCCAAACATGTATTTTTGTCCTATTCCCCATACGCAAAGAAATGACCCTATTATAGACGGCCAAAGCAAATAAAAAAGAAAAGAGTATTATCATTCCACACAAGTTTGCCAAATGCGGCCAACGTTAATGACAAAAAAAAAAGAAAAAAATTTTCACTTTACCAGTTCAGTTACAAAAGAAAGAATGGACTGCAAACAGTCCCAGTAAGTAAGCATTATTTTTACTCAAAAAGAGCCCCATGTATGCAAGCGTAGCAATGTATGCCCATGAGAAGCATCATATAAAGAGAAATCATATTGGATGGTTTAGTGTTGCCGCACACAGACTCCCTCTCTCTGTGTATTTCGGGGAAGAGGTCCACTGAGAGACACCCATCGGCCTTGCTCGCCACACGTGCATTACAAAAGCACCCCTCACAAAGACACCACCACCACAAGAGTGACGGCCAGAAGCAGAGCGTGTAAGAGGGAATGCGCTGCAGAGTTACCATTCATACCAACCCGGTGGGCAATGTCACTCTGGTCATGGGGCGCGTTTGCAAGTGGATGAAGACTGCTGCCATCAGAGGCAACGGTGCACACTTCAGTGTACATGGGGCAGTGGATTCTCTTGAACTTCAATGAAGCAGAAGAAGAGCCTACGGCTATTTCACTGCCACTAGGGCACTCTTGGAATTCCAAAATGCCACTGTACTTCACCTTCACTTTACGATTGCTTTTATCACACAACACCTGTGCGCACACTCCGCTAAGTTTGGTAGTGTTACCATACTTCTCAACATCATACTCATTGGTAGTCAAGCACATCGAGTTCTCGCCCGTCAAGAACCCAGGAAAATCAGCATCTCCAAGCTCAGTGCAGGCAAAAGAAAAAAGAGATGCATCTTCACGAACAGAAAGAGGTGAAACAAGAACGGGACAAGATCCTGTTTTATCAGCATTTACAGTTCCCTCATCCACATCGACGCACTTTGCAAGTCCAAAGCGATCAGATGAACAACGCAGCCTCTCATCAGTACAGAATGCATTGGGATAATTCGAGACGCCGTTCTCTGTGAGGCAACCCTTTCGAATAAAATCACATCCAGACTTGTTGCCCCAACTCATCGGCTCCTCCATTCCCCAGTTGGCAGAATAATATTTCATGTCATGGAAAGCTGCCATCGTCAAAACAGTGTAGTAGGCGCCGCCGAACGCATGTAAAGAGCTCATCAACTCATCCTTTGCATTCCGCGATGACCACGTGGATGATACATCCATCCGAAACACCTTCCTCTCTCTGTAGTCCAGTTCCATACCCTCAAGATTACTGCAGCCGTAATGTTCCTGTGCCATTTTCTTCGTCATATCGGAGCTCACAACCACTCGTTTCACTCCACGTACAGTGATGACAGAGATCATACCAAGACTCTTCATCCGCTCGTAGTCGAAGCCAAGTGCGTGTGCAATATGGTGGGCAGCCTGGCGAACGTTAGGGCGAGTACTTACTGTTTGGTATGGAATAAAGTTCAGCCCACCAGCAATTGGACGTCCAGAAGGCTCTTTATTAGCACATGTAACACCAAACGCATCACCAGGTTTCGCGGCCACGTAGAGTACAAAGTCAGCATTCTCAACACCTGGGTTATGGTGATCTTGAGGAACAGTGAAAAATCTGCAATCAGTACTCTGATTAAATTGAGGTATAATCAACGGAGTGCTCTCAGGGTCAACGAGCAGACGCTCAGCATGCAGTTTGACTGCAGCAGGAATGATTTTCTCCATCAGATTGGTTTTCTGCTCTTCAGTTAGGATGTAATCCTTATCGCACGAAAGCTCACGCCCATCCGAAGTCCTTAATTTGGCGTTCTCCGTGGTGCAGTACTTCTTCTCGTCCTTCAAATCCTCCATTGACGTCTTGATGCGGATCAACTGCCTCTTTGATGTGGCGACGGTGTACGCCTGCA